TTTTCAAAGCAAGAGTCATAAAATTTAATGAATAAGTGTCATAGATTAATTCTAAGTAGTTAGAAGTTCACACAAATAGATACATTAACTATGATTAAAAAAATAAAAAGCCTGTATATCTGAAAAAGCCAGAAATTATATTGACCTTTCTGTAAAGAATTTTGTTTAAATTATACATGAAATAATTGTTGTTTCTTCTTCTAACCATTTAATTTTCAATTTTCAATTTCTAATCCATAGCATGTGATAATCAAGATTATTTGCAATGAGCTCCCTATGTCTCCAAGTTTTCAACATGAAATTATCCTTGTCAGTGTCCAGTGTGAGCAAGTGCTGTGTTCATTTTTGTCAAATAAACCAGAAGTTTTTAATTTTACACCTCTCCAAAGTGACATGAATTAGTAAAAATGAAAACTTTCTGGATGCTGTACTTGGAGAGAAACAGCATTTCTAACTTCTCAACAGGACGAGCAACTCTTATCTCATTCAATAAAGACCTGTATCTTCAGAGCTAACACATGTGAAAGTTACCTTTATTGGATGAAAAGAATGGAGATATATGTATGTATGTATAATTCCTGCTATGAACTGTTATTATGAAGATTTTGAAATGAAAATAATAAATTGTTGTTCTAATTGGTGCGATGACATTCCAATTACTAAGTTATAAATATCTGAAATCAGGCTGAAGAGCAGGTAAAGACATCTGCTGTGTATGTACAAAGAGAATATAAAGAGAACATATTTTTAGATGTATTTAAAACATAACATATATAAAATGCAATCAAAGTTAAGGTAAATTGATTAAACAAGCTTACTTCTTCCTCAACCCTCACTATATTGTGGTTAGAGGAAGTAATTCCCCAGAAGCTTTGGTGGCCCACAGCAGATGACCTCTTTAAGGGAAATTATTCAGTTAGGAATTTCAGGGTACCAAGGTGAATCAATTCACCTAAAAGACATGACCAAGAACTTCATAAATCCTATAAATAAAGTTTAGGTTATTTTTTTTCAAGGTGAATTTTGATTGAGTCATGTAATATATATCTATATATTATATTTCTATCTGACAGTTGTTATGTTCTGCTATTCTTTTTTCAATGTAATGCTTCCTTAGTAGTTGATAAAGGACTAAGATCAACTTCACTATAGTAATACTCAAACATTTGCCTTTTTTCATTCCCATGTTCAAATTTATTTTTAATAAGTTTTTTTTTTCATCGAGGGAAATTGAACCTTCACCCTTTTATCTCAAAAAGAGTTTCATGGGTAAAAAAACATCTTTAGGGGATCAGAACATATCTTTTTGATGGACAGAACTACATATTTGATATATTACATTTTTAGTATACTACATATTTGATATACTACATATTTTGTATATATTTTTTCCTATTCAAGAGTGATAAGGAAGTGTAAGCACCACCGCAGCAAGGATGAGAACTGGGAGCAGCAGGTTAAAACAGTGCTTCAGAAATGTAGCTATACTTTGCATAATCTGACCCTATGGATTCTTTTAGTATAAGCAATGTGTGAAAGCATGAATTGAGAGAAGGAATCAGTAAAATGTAAGCAGAATTCCATTGCTATAAAATCATTAACCCTTCCCTTTCCGGTCCATTCCCTCTGGAATAGAAACTCACAAAGTAACTTTATCTCCCTTGATTGATATCTGTAATGCTTTTGTAGGGGGGGGGGAATGCTTGCATTTAAAGAATTGAAATAATAAATATTATAGCAAATGCAAAAAGAGACTGGAAACTATCACATTGTGACTGAAAATGTTAAGAAACATAAAGGTAAGGAAGGATACAAGAAATTACTGAGACTTTTTTTAAGTTGTGCACTGTCCTTAGTTAGTAGTAATATTTTGTTTAGATTATTGCACTGGAGTGGGGGATGGAAGACAATGAGTAGAGAAGTGTCAGTTCACGTCCATGTCCCACATTGCCAAAAGTGACTAAAATCTAGACTTCGATACAGGATTTATCACTTTTGTTGTGAATATACTCTTTTGTAATTTATCTTCTTAAGTCAATCATGTATAACAATGCTTTAAAAATGCTTAAAATGGTCATATTGCCATGGCTTGTTTCTCTGTTCAATGAGTTTGTTACTACCTTGGCTTCTTTATTAGATTATCTGGTAAGTGACTTCAATGTGCCTAAGTACGGGAACATTTTACAAACAACAACACACTGAGAATACCTGCCTTGTTTGTAAGTGACTGTCTCCACCTCAACTTAAAATGAACAAGAAAGTTTTCAAGTGAGACAAAAATCCCATTGTTCATGCTGATGAGGGCAGTGAGGAGGAAGGCAAAGCATCTGTGGAATACAAATGAAACCCTCAGGTTGGCTGCTGAGTGTTCCAGGATGTGAACTTATTAGTTATTTGCATTCAGTAAAGGCACCTCACACACCTTCTCACTGGGTATATAAAAAAGCTTATCCATTCTAAATAAACACAGTGAAAAAACTGGCAATATTGTCTGAAGGAT